AAAAATAAAGTAGTGGTCTGGAAGAAGTGAAGCAATAGTTTCCAAAGTGTAGTGAATTGCTGCCAGTTCAGCCACATACACAGAACAAGGAGCTTCAAGTTTTCGAGAGGCGCTATGAAATTCATTAAATACACCAAAACCAGCGGACTCCTCTATTAGAGATCCATCTGTGAAAAACGTTCTTGCAGAATCAACATGGCCAAACTTTGCAGCGTATAATGACGGAGCAATCATAGAACGATGATGCTCTGGAATTCCGCGGATTTCCTGCGTCATAGATAAATCAAAATTCACTGAATTGCCGAAATCGGAGAATATTACACGATTGGGAATATTTCTTGAAGGGCTGACATCCTGTGTTAAATATAGGTAGTACAAAGTCATAAAACATGTTTGAGGATTTAGCTCCAGAAGCTTCTCAAAATTTTCGATCACCAGTGGGTTCATTACTTCGCAACGGGTGAGGAGCCTCAGAGATAACTCTGAAAAACGGACGGATAGAGGCAACATGCCCGCCAGCACTTCGAGACTCATAGTATGAGTCGAGTGCATGCATCCTAACGCGATACGAAGACAACGATACTGGATCCGTTCCAGCTTGATGATGTGCGTTTTAGCTGCCGACTGGAAGCAAAAACTACCGTACTCTAAAACCGATAAAATCGTTGTCCGGTACAACGTCAGAAGATCTTGTGGATGGGCTCCCCACCACGTTCCGGTAATTGATCGAAGGAAATTGATCCTTAGTTGGCATTTTCGTCTCAGATACTCAATGTGGGATCTCCAGGTGCATTTGGAATCGAACCAGACCCCAAGATATTTAAAGGACATGGAATGAGTGATCGGTTTACCCAAAAGTTGAAGCTTCGGTTGTGCTGGGCTATGCTTCCTAGAAAAAACGACCAACTCAGTTTTCTCCGTGGAGAATTCGATACCTAGCTGAATAGCCCAAGTAGACAAATTGTCCAAGGTATCCTGTAAGGGTCCTTGCAGGTCAACCTCTTTTGGCCCTGTGATAGACACTACGCCATCATCTGCAAGTTGTCTCAACGTGCAATTGTCACTCAGACAATTGTCAATTTCTCTAACGTAGAAATTGTACAAAAGGGGGCTTAAACATGAGCCTTGGGGGAGACCCATGTAGCTAAATCGAAAAGCTGTAGAGTTTCCATGAGAAAAGCTCATATGTTTTTCTGACAGCAAATTGTACAAAAAATTATTCATTAATGGAGACAATCCACAAGCGTGGAGTTTCTCTGAAAGAACTTCAACGGATACTGAATCAAAAGCCCCCTTGATATCCAAGAACACAGAAGCCATTTGCTCTTTCTTAGCAAAAGCTAACTGAATTTCCGAGGAAAGCAACGCGAGACAGTCGTTCGTTCCCTTACCCCTACGGAAACCAAATTGAGTATCTGAAAGAAGGTGGTTCGTCTCAACCCATTTGTCGAGGCGAAAAAGGATCATTTTCTCCATCAATTTCCGAATACACGACAGCATCGCGATGGGCCGATACGAATTGTGATCCGACGCGGGTTTATCAGGCTTTTTAATGGCTATCACCCTCACTCGTCTCCAATCGTCGGGAACAATATTGAGCTCCAAGAACTGATTGTACAAGTTCAACATGCGCCTCTTAGCGACGTCTGGGAGGTTTTTCAGCAAGTTGAACTTGATTCTATCAGATCCCGGGGCAGAATTGCCACACGAAAGGAGAGCGAGTGAAAGTTCCACCATTGAAAAAGGCTGACTGATTTCGTCTACCGAATTCGCGGTTTCGCGAGGAATCAACTGCGACGGCACGGAATCTGGACACACTTTTCGCGCGAATTTAAGAATCCATTGATCCGAGCATTCCTCGCTTTCGTTGTTAGTAGACCGGTTACGCATTCTTCGCGCCGTACTCCAAAGCGTATTCATAGACGTTTCGCGCGACAATCCGTCTACAAACTGCCGCCAGTAACCCCGTTTTTTGGCCTTGATGAGGCTCTTGAGTTCGCGTTCAAGAGATGTGTATGCGTCGAAATGCTCGCGTGTTCCGCGTTTCCGAAAAAGTTTAAACGCGTCGGACTTTTTACGGTAAACCTCCGTGCATTGTTGATCCCACCAGAGCGATGGTGTTTTCTTACGAATAGACGATCGCGGCACCGGTCGTGTTTGAGCTTGAAGTGCGCTGTCGACGATGAGATTAGAGAGGAAATTATATTCCTCCAACGGCGGAAGCTCTTCCACTGACGATGCTGTATCGTCTATCGCGGATTGGAACTTAGTCCAATCGATGTTACGGGTTAGATCATACGCGACGTTAACGGATTCTGACGAGTTGAACTCACTGGCAATCGAAATTTTGATCGGCAGATGATCACTACCGTCCGGATCCTGGATTACATGCCAAGTGCAATCCAACGATAGTGAATTGGAGCAAAAGGTGAGGTCTAATCTGCTACCATTCGAGGATGGACCAGCCAAACGTGTTACTTCTCCATTGTTAAGGATTGTCATGTTGAAGTTGTCACAGAGATCATAAATCAAAGTAGAACGGTTATCATCGTACAGTTCCCCCCAGCCTGTACCGTGGGAGTTAAAATCTCCCATGATCAACCATGGAGCGGGAAGTACCGCACATATGTCGAAAAGTTGTTTGCGATTAACAGAGACTCTAGGAGCAATATATACAGAAGCAATACAAAGGCTCTTACCTTTAATGGTAGCCTGACATGCGACAACTTCAATACCGGGGAATTCGGGAAGATTCACTCTATAGAAGGAATGGCACTTTTTGATCCCCAAAAGTACCCCTCCTCCACGTGAATCCTCACGATCCAATCGAATAATGTTAAAATCGTAAAAAGGGAGATCAATTTCTGAAGAGAGCCATGTTTCACAGAGGGCAAATGCATCGCAATTATTGTTATGGACTAAATACTTGAACGAATCTAATTTCGGAATAAGACTTCGACAATTCCACTGTAGAACAGTGATCAAATCCCCGACCTCGTTTGGAAAATTATCCATCGAAGGAGATGATAGCTGCAAGAAGGGGCCATTTTGAAGTCAATTGCTTCAAGAAGGATTTCACAGTGGGAAGCAATGTGAGGACATTGTTTTTCAGAGGATCAGAAATGTTGAGGTATTTGAGAATACCGTCCACAATGTCATCAAATGAGAACAGCCCAGATGAAGAAGGGGTTTCTGTTCTTAAAATTGGGGCATCAGGGGTTTTGGATGTCCCCGGAAGAGGTGGAAAATCCTGGGTATAATCAGTTCTGCGGAATCCAGGAGGAGTAGAAGTCTCCTTTTTTCCACCACTCCTTGATTTGGGCAAGCTGATTTGGGGTTCTTGATCTGCAACTTTCCGCGAACGGATGCGTTTTCGTTTCCGGGCAGAACCTTCCGGAAAACTGAAAGAAACTCCCTCCTCAGCCAAGTCAGAGCCAGACTCGTCATCTGACAAAAGAGCGAAGGGATTTGTTTCGTTGGTCGATGGCTTGGCTGTCTTAAGCATTTCTGCAAAAGACCGCCTGGAACGTTCCTTAAGGGAGCGTTTCATTTTGTCCCCGAGCTGTTTGTACGCCGGGCACGACGAGAGAGCATGAGGAGCAGTTCCATTACAGTACACGCATTTTGGTGCAGTAGCTGCGCAAGCGCCATCCTCATGCTTCTCCCCGCATGTGGAGCAGCGTGCCTTGTTGCCGCAGTGGGAGGCCGTATGTCCCAACCGCTTACAATTCTGGCAGTTCATGACCCGAGGTACAAACAACCGCACAGGAAGACGAAGTTTTCCCAGCTCGATGTATTGAGGAAGGGCAGATCCCGAAAAGGTCACCCGAAACGAGTCTGTGGGGGTAAAACTCTTTTTACCCTCGCTGAGCGATACTGACTTCATTCTATGAACGGCCAGTATCTTTACCGGAGGAAGCAAGGGGTTCTTGAATCGGCCAACCGCTTGCTTCTCCAGTATCTCGGGGTTCAGGCTCGCCTCAGTGACCACGCTTTCGATCTCCACATCAGAGGCTGGAATGTACACCCTATATTCCAGTGTGAAAAACTGGGAAACAGCAATTTCATTGGCCTGTTTCAGGTTAGCGACGGTCACACGAAGTTTGTTGTGCCTAACCTTCGTTATTTCGGTCACGGCAGAGAATCGCTTTGTCAGATCATCAGATATCTGAACAACATTCAAGGGTTTGTTTTTGGGCTGAAAATAGACAACCCATGGGCCAGTCGAGTCATTCGGGTAGGCCCGCAATCTGGAGCTTTTCTCATCCTGCCCATTGACAGACTGAGACGACGAACCAGGGATGACATCATCATTATTCTGAGATGAATGGTCATCCATGTCGTCTTCTGACAAAACATCCATTTTGTTCAACTAGTGGGAGCGCAAAACGCTCTCCCACTGAACGCACAGACGCAATACACAGAAAACACTACAAACACAGAAATACAAAATGAAAATTTAACTAATGGAGGAGGAAAAGAAACAAAAAAAAACAAAAACTTATCTGATAATTCTATACTACTACCACCGAGCGTTATATGTGTAGGCGTTTACGCAGATGGCTGGAAGAGACGCGCTGCGTGGATGACCTTCGTTGTGGTGCACTTGATCGAGGCTCGGTACTCAGCGCACACAGGCGCACGATGATTGATGAACGATGTAGATGTAGAAACGGGTGCTCACACTCGATGATGATGATACGTGAGCGGGTATGCGTAAGCGCGTATGCGTGACCACGCAACGATGATGCCCAAATTGGTTCGCGAATTTCCAATAGCACGGATTACTCTTTCCGAAAATGACACTTTCTACTAAAAAAAAACTCACTTTTCGATCAATTTACCGGGAACTATGCCAGGAGTCACTTAGTGAGAAAAAACTGATAATTTATATCAAGCGAATACCGAGAAAACTTCCAAAACAACGGAGCGCGAAACAAGTCGACCGTACTTCTTGCTAGGACGCAGTGAAATGGACGATGGTATTGAACGGGAGCATTTAGAAATAGCAAAACTTCTCCCCAATCAACTTCCAAAATAGATGCACAAGATTCAAGGATCGAGACCCCTTCACTACGCAGCTCAAGACAACGCCAATAATCTCTTGAGTATAAAAAACCGTATAAAATTCGCATAAAACCGTGAAAAGTTTTTCTGTTCGCACGAATTTAACATTCAAATTCATAATGATTCGATAAAGTTCAAAAATGGCTGTATTGTAAGGGCATGCGGTATATCGAGTTATACCGTGTATTTCGCTTCAATTCGGAATTTAACGGAATTTTTGTTTCATGTTTCGTTTCGTTTAAATCAGAAAATTTCGAGTTCATAAACGGCGAATGAGAACGACCCACATTTGAGTTTAGTTCACTCATAATCGCCAAAAGTGCAGGAACTCAGCGATGAGTAAAATTTGTCTCATGTTTTCCCAGGTTTTTCCAGGATTTTTAAGGGAAAAATTCCCGAATTTGAGAAAAGTAAAGATTGGATTCACTCAGTCTATTGGTACTTCTTCGAGACTGAATGAAAGTTTCGTCAATTTCCTCATTTTCCGACAGATTTTTTAGGTTTTCCACAGGAAACCATGAGATAAATTTACTCATCGCTGAGTTCCTGCACTTTTGGCGATAATGAGTGAACTAAACTCAAATGTGGGTCGTTCTCATTCGCCGTGAAGCTAACAAAACTCACCAGCTGCAAATCTGTGAAGAGATTGAGTTTCATGATTATTGCTTTACACCCGAACGCAACCGAAGCTTCCATAACGTCGGTGAAGAGTGAAAAGAGATAGCAAACTATACTTTCTCTTTCTAAGAAAACGATGTGCAACGGCATCATTTTAGTGTCGAGTCAACTTTCAGCTTGATTTTTTGCACGTTGTGAAGGAGCTTGTAAAATCATTATGAAGCATGATATTTTGTTCCAATATCACGCGTGATGTTGAGAGCGTATGAGAGCGGAAAAATGTAATTTCGTTCTCTTCCACAACCCCACCATTTTCCTCTTCATCCGTATATACCTATAGCAAAGTATTTTAGATTTGCCTGCTTGGCGGCAGCTTTTGTATACAGTTTAAATTTTAGTTCAATGAAAATATTGGATTAGTTTCAAATTGGATATTTCGATGTGCAGTTATTCCAGTTATAACAGAGCAAGGGTAGTGAATGGACTTCACTTTTTGAAAGACATGCTTCTTGTTGGCTGGTTGGGAGTGGCTTCTGTCTGCTCCAAAACTCGTCTACCGAGACACTGGAGGGAGATCTTCATTGATACCTTGCGTATTCTTCTCGTTGGCGAGCTGAGCTGAATGTGGGTATTGATTAGAGCTTTCAAGATACCTCGCGAATGCTTCTCGTTGACGGGCTGAGAGTACGTGTGGATCCTACTCCTGCGGTAGTCTAATCGTGCCCTGAAGACCTCTAAAGGTCGTTTTTCTTGGATAGGTTCTTGACTAGTGTTGTTTGTTCGTTGGTTATTTTGAAAAGGTGAAATATGAGTTTGATCAATTTGTTTTTCTTTTATTTAACTGTATTCAAACGAAATTCCTATAACATGGAAATTTATGAACTAGAAATTTTCTGATTTAAACGAAACGAAACATGAAAACAAAAATTCCGTTAAATTCCGATTCGAAGCGAAATACACGGTATAACTCGATATACCGCATGCCCTTACAATACAGCTATTTTTGAACTTCTTTATCGAACCACCATGAAATTGAATGTTAAATTCGTGCGAACAGAAAATCTTTTCACGGTTTTATGCGAATTTTATACGGTTTTTTATACTCAAGAGATTATTGGCGTTGTCTTGAGCTGCGTAGTGAAGGGGTCTCGATCCGGATGAATCTTGTGCATCTATTTTGGAAGTTGATTGGGGAGAAGTTTTGCTATTTCTAAATGCTCCCGTTCAATACCATCGTTTAACGGAATTTTTGTTTTCATGTTTCGTTTCGTTTAAATCAGAAAATTTCGAGTTCATAAATTTCCATGCAAAGGAATTTCGTTTGAATACAGTTAAATAAAAGAAAAACAAATTTATCATACTCATATTTCACCTTTAGAGGTCTTCAGGGCCTGATTAGACTACCGCAGGAGTAGGATCCACACGTACTCTCAGCCCGTCAACGAGAAGCATTCGCGAGGTATCTTGAAAGCTCTAATCAATACCCACATTCAGCTCAGCTCACCAACGAGAAGCATTCGCGAGGTATCTATGAAGATCTCCCTCCAGTCTCTCGGTAGACGAGTTTTGGCGCAGACAGAAGCCACTCCCAACCAGCCAACAACAAGCATGCCTTTCAAAAAGTGGAGTCCATTCACTACCCTTGCTCTGTTATAACTGGAATAACTTCACATCGAAATATCCAATTTGAAACTAATCCAATATTTTCATTGAACTTAAATTTAAACTGTATACAAAAGCTGCCGCCAGGCAGGCAAATTCTAAAATACTTTGTTATAGGTATATACGGATGAAGAGGAAAATGGTGGGGTTGTGGAAGAGAACGAAATTACATTTTTCCGCTCTCATACGCTCTCAACATCACGCGTGATATTGGAACAAAATATCATGCTTGATAATGATTTTACAAGCTCCTTCACAACGTGCAAAAAATCAAGCTGAAAGTTGACTCGACACTAAAATGATGCCGTTGCACATCGTTTTCTTAGAAAGAGAAAGTATAGTTTGCTATCTCTTTTCACTCTTCAACGACGTTATGGAAGCTTCGGTTGCGTTCGGGTGTAAAGCAATAATCATGAAACTCAATCTCTTCACAGATTTACAGCTGGTGAGTTTTGTTAGCTTCACGGCGAATGAGAACGACCCACATTTGAGTTTAGTTCACTCATAATCGCCAAAAGTGCAGGAACTCAGCGATGAGTAAATTTGTCTCATGGTTTCCTGTGGAAAACCTAAACAATCTGTCGGAAAATGAGGAAATTGACGAAAATTTTATTCAGTCTCGAAGAAGTACCAATAGACTGAGTGAATCCAATCTTTACTTTTCTCAAATTCGGGAATTTTTCCCTTAAAAATCCTGGAAAAACCTGGGAAAATATGAGACAAATTTTACTCATCGCTGAGTTCCTGCCCTTTTGGCGATTATGAGTTGACTAAACTCAAATTTGGGTCGTTTTCATTCGCCGTGTTGATATTCCGAGCGTGCAAAATCAACTGCAGATGTTTGCTTGTCGATTTTGTTCAAGCGTAATCTTGGGCATTGGTGATTTTTTTTTTCATTTTCTCAACACTGGCTCCGTGCATGACTAGCCCCTTGAGGTTTTGCAATACCTATGAAATTCATGCTATAGTCACTCACCCATATTGTTCAAAGCGTTATTTGTGTGACCCGATGTTGATTCATCAGATAAAACTATGTAATACCCACGAGCGCTTCGTTCATTTCACCGAGTACCTCTGGATAAATCTAATGTTCTAAACCTAGATTAAAATATCATTCATCATAACAAACAGTTCCGGGTCAATAATAAAAGAAAATAACGATTTTGCGTCACCTAAAATCACGTCCGATTGAGTCCAAATATCGCACAGGGTCTTTTTATTTTCGGGGCAATAAACATTTCCCCTACACATTCATTGGCACCCTAATGAAGATATACATTTTTACGCCCGTGTAGTCATTAGGGCGAATTTTGAAACGTGAAAGATTGAAATTAGTTTTTCTTGGAAATGTAACTTTGTGATTTTTTCAGGACCTTTATCTGAGAATGGATATTGAATTTTAAAATTGTGAATGTTTCGCAATTTGTCAAAAATATCAAAATGATAATCTGTTTTTAGATCTCACCCTAATAATTATAAATTAGAATTCTAAACTAAATTCTGATTTCACGATCACAGGCTAGGATATTTTCCTAAATTTGAGTACTCAGAAAAATTTTATGATCAAGAGCGTAGACAATATTTGAAGAACTGGGACTAGGAATAAGCGGGACAAAATACAAACGACACCTAAAGAATGCACATCTTGCACTTAAAATGTCCAAAAAACCTTGGTCAGGAGTAATTAGCTTTGAAAATGAGCACTAGACAATATAGTAGTAATAGAAAATATATGTTTCACTGGTAAAACTGCGAAAATAAGCAACAGTAAAATGAAAAGTTGCAACAGAAAATTCAAAAATAGCAAAGATCCAAAAAACATGAATGATCCATGAATAGTTGATGAATTTCCAATTAAAACTCTAGTAGTAGCAATGAAAAACTAAAAAATAAGCATACAAAAATTAAAAATTGTGCAATAGAACACCTTCAAAATTTTCCAATAAAGACGTCAATTTTTTTACATGTGTTTTTTAAATTTATTATTGCTCGCTTTTTAATGTTAAAGTGCTGCGATGCCTCTCGACGGTTAATGTCCTCAGAATTGGAGATGGCTGATATTTACTCGATTAATGGAGCGCACAGTGAACGATCAGTAGGTATTCGACTAATATTTAAGCTAACATAAGATCAGCCGGGTTTTTGTGGCAACCAGCATATGAAGGTAGAATTATGATCGCGAGCATCAAAGATAAAAATAAAATCAGAACGTGTCATCAATCTGCAGGAGGAAATTTAATTAAATAACATTACAATCAGAAAAGATTTCGTTTGTTCCGAAAGAAAATCCATAAATTCTATTTCAGCAGACTGGGAAGGCCCAAACTGGGTTATTCATGGGCATAGCAGGGGTCGAGTGAATGCACTGATTTTCACATTGTTATAAATTTAAGAACTTAAAAGTTTATCAAATTCCGAGTAACTTATGCGTTTAACACTCCGAACACGATGCCTTCGAAGGCCACAAGTGTGCATTGACACAGCTTAGCCATTTCTAGATGAATCCCAAAAAAATGTGGTTCCACTAGATCTCCTAGGATTTGAAGGTAATTTTGATTGCAAAATATTGAAAATAGGGTCGTCTACTTTTTTACGTAGGACTACGTCTGTGATTTCTATATGGGGGTACAATTTGTGAAAACCGAAAATGGAACATGTAACGAAATTATGAAAGATTTTGAACGTTAATAACTTAGCTTCCCTCGGACCAATTTCAATAATTTTATCACAAATCGAGCATAAATATTTCTACGCATCTTTCGACTGTTGATTTTCAACAAGAAACTATGGAAAAGTGGTAAATGTCAAGCATTGTGTAAAAGTTTCGAAATTACTAGCAAATCTACCATTTACGTACATGCATATGCTGTTTCCCCAACACAGTCATCAGAGAGTCGTTAGTAGACGAAACAAGTCGAAGTGGCATTCGCCTCCAATCTTCGGGCGTGTGCGAATAGGGAGGATGCAATTGCATAACATTTTGCACACTCATCGCCATATTCAGAACCACACAAAATACTCTCCAGAGTTGTAATCTTGTAACCAAACTTGGAAGTAGGGGTGCAAGTGATTTTGATCGATTCTCTTCATCGACTTTCTGTTTTGTTAATTACTCGACGGCAAACATATTCATTAATACGTTTGTTGTTCTTGAGTAACACTTGCTGGTTGCAATTCTGCTGTTCGATATTTTTGAAGGACCACCAAAACACATGAAAATACTGAAGTAATGAATGCTTGAATAAAACAGCAAAAAAGGGTTATCTTCCATTTAATTGCACTTAAATAATTTTGGTATCCATGACAGATACGTATTTCGACTACAATGTGCAGTCTTCATCAGTGTCATTCCCACTAAAGACTTGGTTTTTGGTATTTTACATAAAATTACACTATTTTCTAGGGATGCCTAAAAGTCCAATTATTCGATTAATGATCGAGGTCTACCCCAGAGTCGACGACCTCTGCCGGGTTCTCTGCTGAATATAAACTGTGTTTGTCGTTCTTCTGGCATCCGCACTACATGCCCAGCACACCATAGACTGCCGTGTTTATAAGCTTCACTATATCCGTACCGCTATACACTTGTTACAACTCGTGATTCATGCGACGCCGCCAGATGCCATTTTCTTGTTTACCGCCGAGTATTGTTCGCAGCACCTTACGCTCAAAGACATCAAATGCTCTCCGGACAGTCTCATTTAACGTCCACGATTCAATGCCTTAGAGGGGCACCGGAAGTATCAGCGTCTTTAGTTTTCGTTTGCAAGCTACGGGACTTCAGCTGGTGGCTAACATCATTATCGCATGTCACTGGTATTCCAAGATACACCAATTCTTCCACTACCTCAAATTGTTCACAACATTTCTCTTCCAAAACCACTATTGCTGTCTACCGGTTATCATGTACTTCGTTTTGGTAGAACTTATCGTGAGCCCAATCCTCGCCGTCTCCCACTTAAAAAGCCACAAAGGCCTCTTCCACTACTCTACGGTCAATTCCGATGATATCGATGTCGTTCGCAAAGGCGTGTGATGATGGTACCATTCCTCTGCACACTCTTCAAGAGCAATGTTGAATAGTAAGTTTGAAAGTGCATCGCCCTGCTTCAATCCATTAAGGTCACGAATGAGGTCGAAATCTCATCTGCAACCCGCATACTTGATTTCGATCCATCCAGTGTTGCGCGAATCAGTCTAATCAGTTTCGCCGGAAAGCCATTTTCTAGCATAATCTGCCAAAGATCGTGTTGTTGCAGGGTAAACATTTGATCCGTCGTTGATCGGCCCTCACGAAAACAAGCGGTCTCAATCTGTTAAACAAAACGCGGGACAGTATTTTAGACGCCGAATTCAGAAGAGTTATTCCTCGATAAT